ATGTAAAATAATGGACAACTGGTCGACCTGGATTAAAGTGGGCATGGGACACTGAGAACATCAGCCCGTTCCCTCCTTTTCCCCTTTCACCCAAGACCTCATGGAAGCCCTGAGGCTCCCAGGAGCAGATCACAGCCCACAGCACCTTCCTCTTCAACCTCCCAACTGTCGATGGATTTCATAACAGGCCACACTATCAAGAGCATTTTTAGTTGTATGTGGCCTTGGCTGCAAAGGGGAGCAGAGCATTTCCAAGCACCTGCTGCATTGCAGGCACTGAGTTATCTTATTTCACCTCTCCTTCAGCAGCTGACACTGTCCCCACCCTTTAAACGGCAGAGAGAGCCAAGGCTCAGAGCCAGTTAGTTCTTCAGCGGCAAACTGGGATTTGAACTTGGATTTTTTTTCCTCAACCACATTGTGTCTTTTTAAAAGTGGAGGGAGCAGGCTTGCATGACATGGCACAGGACTGCCAAAAGAAAGGCAAGCAAGGGGGCAGAAGCGTCCTCCTGCGCCAGCTGCTCCTCCTCCTCTCCCGTTGCTTTTCCCCACGGTGCTGGCGCTAAGACCCTGGGAGACAGAGTGGCTTGCTTTCACCTTAATTAGCACAGCAATTTGCTAAATTTTGTTTTTCCCTTTTTAAGAGTGTTAATCAATTTTAGCTCAGAATAGATTGGAATGGCACACAAATTACCACAACAATCCCCAAATGCTAAATTCTGAACATCTCGATCAACCTCAGAGCCTGAAATATATGAGAATCAGAAACTCCGGCCGGCATCTCCGTGATCTATTTAAAATGTTACAGGGCTGAAATGAAAAGATAATGGTTTTATGAGGTTGGGAACAAGCAATTTGCCAAAGTAAGCTTCATGCCTAAGTGTTTAGTCTTTCCCAAGGTGAATGGAGACACAGCATCAACACATTTCTGCAAAGTTACATGTTCCTCTAATAATAACAATCTGTTAAATCCACAGCATTACAAGGTACCTACTATATACTAGAAAGACAGAGTAAGATGTGTCTCCTTAAGAAAGTTCCAACAGACAGATAAGTGAATAAAAAAATGTCTTCCTCTCTCCTGGAGAAGTCAGGGAAGGTTCTAAGAGAAAGGGGGCAGTGCAGCTGAAGGATGAGTAAGAGCTGTGACAAGATAGGTGGAAGGGCATGTCAGACAGAGGGAACAGCATTAGCAAAGACCCAACCATAGAAGAGAGGGCTAAGAGAACCAGAGGTGTTCTCTATTACTTGGCTGATAGGGAAATTCTGCAGGAAAGACAAGGGATGAGACTGGAAGTAGAGTCGAGAGCCTGAATATAGAAGACTTCTTAATCAGACTACAAATCTTGACCTTGACACAAGCCTAGTGGCACTACGGAAGGATATAAAGCAAGGGAGTGGCATGACCAAATGAGTTTCATTTTACTGAAATCCTCCAGCCCAATGTAATCCCTAATATTCATTGCATAGTCTATTTAAAGCACACTCACAAGTAATCTCTCATTTGAGTCTCTTAATTACCTTAAGAGGCTGATATTATACCCACATTTCCACCGATGAGAAAACAGGTCCAGCAGAGGGAGGTGATTTAATGTGTGTCTTATGAGCACTAAATTACAATACACAAACTAAAACCCAGGTTCACCAGACTCTGAGTTCAGCATTTACTTCACTGGGTAACAGAATCCTCTAGATAATAGCTATCGTAGACCAGCCTCAGATATACAACAGGCCAATAGCCTCCAGCCTCCGCAGAAGGCCTGGGTGCCAGAACCATACAAACCAACATGGATTCGGTGATAACGGATTGGTTACTTTAATGCTTTTAAACAGGCCAATAGCCTCCAGCCTCCGCAGAAGGCCTGGGTGCCAGAACCATACAAACCAACACGGATTCGGTGATAACGGATTGGTTACTTTAATGCTTTTGGTCATAAAATCAGATTCAGGTGGCAAACCACCTTAGTTATAGCATGCACATTTTCAGTTAGGAGCTGAGTTTTCTGCCACTGCTACAGTCTACTAAACCATAAGCAAGAAAAGTTGCCACCTAGAGGAGACCAGGCAGTGCCTCTCCGTCTGCCCATACCTTGAGCTCGTCTGCATTGTAGAAGTCTACACGCACAGCGGGCACCATCCAGGTCTGGAAGAGTGTGGCCAGGATCTGCTCTGCGATGGAGTCTGCAATGAGGTGGAAGTGCAGAGGGTTTCGTCTGTGGGGAGCAAAAGCAGGAATAGTCACGGGTAGAGTTAAGGCTTTTGAATTCCAGCTACAAAAATACTTTTCCCAGTTCTTAAGGTGGGGCTAGTTTCTAACATCATTTGTGAAAGTAAATCAGGTATGTTACCAAACCAGTACACACCAGTGAGGATGTCAGAGCTGAAAAGGAGAGAAAACACATTACCCAGCCTCAGAATTTCAGAGAGATGACAACAAAGCACCAGAGAGGGTAAAATTGTTGGTGACATCCAATTCAAGCCAACTACCCTACTTGTTATTAGGGCACTTATGTTTCTAAAAATCTTAAGTAGAGCAAGTATAATAATTTGGCCAAGACTTCATACCTACCACCTGGACATATCGGCATTAAATGCAGAAATACATCAACAGAGGGCCAAGTCTTTAGACTGGTGGTGGGCAGCTGGCAAGATCTGCTCCCACCGCACAGTGATAAGTTCTGTTTTTTGCTTGTTCCTCTCCAAAAGAACATGGGCATTAAAGAAGGAGTCACCTGGAGCTCTCATCACTGATTATCTGCTTATCCTCACTTTTAATATTTCTACAGCCTTTACTTACTCAACCACAGTCAACCAGCCCTGATTGAGGTAGCACCCAAAATACCAACCAGCATCACACAAGAACAAAGCTTCTGGAGTCAAATGGAAACGGATTCAAAAATCTAGTTCTGACACTTATTAGTGAGAACCTTGAGTATGTCACTTATACCTCTGAACTGCTGTTTCTTGTCCTTTTTTTTTTTTTGAGACCGGCCGCACCGCGCTCAGCCAGTGAGCTCTGTGAGCGCACCAGTCATCCCTATATAGGATCCGAACCCACGGCGGGAGCACTGCTGCGCTCCCAGTGCCGCACTATCCCGAGAGCGCCACGGGCTCGGCCCTGAACTGCTGGCCGCACCGTGCTCAGCCAGTGAGCTCTGTGAGCGCACCAGTCATCCCTATATAGGATCCGAACCCACGGCGGGAGCACTGCTGCGCTCCCAGTGCCGCACTATCCCGAGAGCGCCACGGGCTCGGCCCTGAACTGCTATTTCTTAATTCTGTAAAATGTTGAGAAAAACCTCCTAATAAGGCTACTGTATTAATTAAATGAGATAATAAGTTTAATATATGATGTATCAAGAACAAACTCAGGATAATAATAAATAGCAGATATGCCTTACTGGGACCTGCTAGGCCCACAGTAGTAGTTCAATCTAGAACTACTATCATAAATATGATTGTGCTACTGAAAGTAGCAACAGAAATTGTAGTACTGTAAATGAGCACCTATTGGAAATAAAGCACTGTGGGAAATACAAAGATGACAGTGACCTGGCCCCCTGACCTCAAGGAGCTCAGACCATTCAGAGAGACAGATGATCCATAGTTAAATATGAATAAGAGTAGAACGTGATAAAGACTACGGAAGAACGCCAAGCTCTACAGGAGTACAGAGAAAGACGGGCTAATTCCGACTGGTTCAGAAGTTGTGTCAGAGGACAGGGGAGCCGGGCCCTAAAGGATAAGCAAAGTGAGAGGGAACTCAATCCACGGAGAGCAACAGGAGACCCTGCTGGGGCCCAGGGTACGTCAGTTGTGGGGTAGGGAGAGGGACTCTAGGGCTGGAATGGAGAAGGAGAGGATGGGAGCCCAGAGTAGGATGGGCGTGCAATGAAAGTCTAGTTGAATGGTCAGCTGGGCATGGGGGCCATGTGACCTGCTGTCAGCTCTCAGCCTCGCGTGCAGCAGCCCCCAGCCCTGCACTACGTCTCGCAGTTTCCCATGCCCTGTGCTCTCTGCCCATCCTGGGTCTTTGCATATTTGTTTTGCACTGCAGGAAACCCTTTTGCATTTGCTCAATAAACACTTATTGAGCACACACTGTTTGCTAGGCCAGGAGCTGGTGCTGGAAACACAGCAGTGAGTAAGACACGTGGTCCCTCCTCTCATGGAGCTCACAGTGCTGCCCACCTTCACCCTCCCCGTTTGGCATTTGGTGATCTCTTACCCTGCCTTCCGTTCTCAGGTCTACATTCATTTGCTCGTAGAATCATTTCCTGACCACCCACGTCTGGGTCAGGGACCTTCCTAACTGACAGTGATCTCAGCACTACGTACCCAATGTACCATCCTTAGGTAGTGACTGCTGCTTACTTGTCTACATCCCCGCTTGACTGTGAGCTCAGCAAGGTTAAGGATGTTAGTATGTTCATAGACAGCCCCATAATCAACATTTCAGCACCTGGAATGTGGTAGGAGTTTAATAAATGAATTGGATGGACAGATGCCAGTGGACTGTGAACAGATATGGGCAATAGATGTGGACATGTCATTTAGGAAATTATTACACTAGGTAGATATGAAATGAGGATCTGATTAAGACAGAATCCAAGGAAAAGCAGAGAGGAGCTAGATCTAAAGGACTGTAGGAGAACAGATCTTAAATATGGGAGAAAACAGAGAGGGAGAAGCAGAAAGTGACACTGAGGTTCCTGGGTTGGTGGTAATGTCTTAAGGACAGGGGATACAACAAGAAAGGTACACTGGAGGAAGGTGATGAGTTGGGGGCTGGGAACACCAAGTATAAGGTGGGGGTGGCAAAGCCAGGTGGCACTGCTGGCTGGATGAGTCTAGACCTGAAGAAAGCTACGAGTATTATCCATTGCCAAACTGCCAGACACATAACAGGTGCTTAAGAGTGACAAACTGAATAAATGAATCAAAGAAACAACGAGCACTGCAGAATTTCCCCATGTGACCTATTGCCCAAATACTGCAAATTCTCCCATTAAACCGTCTGTACTCAGGGCAAGGAGCATGCCCACCCCACAACTTCCCTCATAGCTCAGCAAGAAGTTTTCTGTAAGAAGTGGCCACTGGGTCTTAGTGATGATTGGTGGCGTGGGGGACAGTGGTGTGTCTGCCCACTGGCCAGTGATGTACCTGAAGGCCAGATCAGAGGCAACAAGACAAAGTCATCAGGCAGACAGATGGTCCATTTAACCCTCAGCTTTGGCAAAACCAGGCCCCCATGTCACAGGAGCCACAACAGAGAATGGAGAAAGGCAAGCCTGCATAGGTGTCAACTTGCATTTTCATCCACAGTAGAGGAACAGCTTAATTCTAGCCCTGGGGTGACAATATTAAACAGACCCAGCTATTCATGTGTGCTCTAACACATCACACTTCCCATTCGTCTGCATCTCTGCTAGTGCTGTTTCCTCTCTGTGGAATATCCTCTCCCTACCTGGGGGCCTGGTGAATTCCTGTTCATCCTTCCCTTTGTAAGTCATCTCCTTCTAGAAACCTTCTTTGAACCCTTCCTTGCATCTCTGTCCTGCTAATTCTGCACTTTGTGTGAAAAGCTAATCCACCATGTGTAGCACATGTGTAGTACGGTGCTACGTATTCAAACACCTGCTCCTTGTCTCTACTGTGAGGTCCCTGAGGACAGCAACCATCTTTTCCTCCACATCCACATGCCCAGCAAAGAGCTTGGCAAGTAATGAAGCCTCAGTAAACATTCCTGCAGCAGAAAAGGAAAGCCGACGGCCCTCCTCCTCCGTCACCGTGAGCACCACCGTAAGAAGGTAAAAACGGTTGACGGCATACTCTGTACCCACAGTTCAGAATTTGGGCTCTAGAATGTCTGGGTTGGAACCCTGGCTGTGTTACTGACTGATCTTAGGCAAGTTACTTCATCTCTCTAGGCCTCAATTTCCTCATCTTCAAAATAGGCACAATAACGGTAAGCAATGCCACGTGGAGTAATTGTGAGGATAAGGTGAGACTATACACACACACACACACACAATTAGGCAAGTTACTTCATCTCTCTAGGCCTCAATTTCCTCATCTTCAAAATAGGCACAATAATGGTAAGCAATGCCACGTGGAGTAATTGTGAGGATAAGGTGAGACTATACACACACACACACACACAAAAAGTGCCACCGGGTATATGGTAAGATTTCAATAAGTGTTAACTATTACTGATATTAACTTATGAGACTGCTATTTTCTCTGTTTGTGCACCACCTTTCCAGTAAAGTATTTTCTATTAGTCCCCCCACCTATAGACAGAAAACTGGGTTCAACGAATAAATGTCCAACAAAGAGCTATTAAGGTGTAACCACATAAAAGGCGCAGCAGGGATACAGGCGAAGAATGAGCTGGGAGTTCTCTCTTCAGGAAGCTTACAATCTGGCAGAGGTAGGGAAAGACAGAATAAAAAAACGACACGAACCTTAGAACACAGAAGTGTGATGAAGCTGGGCTGGCACGTGCAGCTGCACAGACTGGTCACGGCCCACCTCCCAAAGAGCCACCTGCATACACTGACTTGGACAATGACATGAAGGGTACTCTTAAGAGTTGAATGTTGCACAATCTGCACAACCATACAGAATGGCTCTGCAAAAAGGAGCCCAAAAGGTACATAAGTTGAGGGCGAAAGAGACCACTCCTAGACAGTGAGGAACCTGGGAGGTTTCCATGGACTACGTGTCAGTTAAACTGGACCTCTGGATGGGGAAGGACGGAACGTAGAAGAAGGCATTCTGCGGGATCAGAGGTGGGAAGTACAGAGCACGCTGGTGAAAGTCTTATTAGGGAGGATCATACAACAACAGTCATGGACATGCACTATATGCTAGGAATGGGGAGCATAAAAAGAAAAAAGAGAGATTAAGTCCCAAGGGCAGGCCAGCCCAGAGTGCGTGAATTCTTAAGAACTGCGACTTTCGTTCTCCAAGAGAAAGAGAGCCAGACAAAGTTTGGAGGCTCAGCTAGCAGCAGATCAAAGTTGTAATTCCAGAAGGTATAACCCGGTTACAGAGCAGAGGTTGGGCAGTGTGGGGAAAGAGGAGCAGGCTCTACGAGAAAAATGCTGCAGACGTTCGGACGGGGCTTCCCTCTTCCATGTCTGTCTCCTTCTGATCTACTTAAAGGATCTCTGTAGAAAGGATAGTAAATCCAGAAAGAAATTTACCT